TCATTTGGTTTCAACTGGCTGACGTCCGGATCCCATGGGCCGCAGAGCCTCAGGCAGTCTTACGCATCATGACTCGACCTCACCTCGGCCGACTTACTTAACCGCTGATGGTTGAAGAATAACAATCTACTCGCAGGTGGTGCACCGCTTGGAATCCGGCCCCCGAGTTTTTTCGCCCGCTTCCGATTCGGGATACACAAGGAGAATAAAAAGACCAAAGGTTTGCAAGGACGACCAAGCTAAACACGCTCATTGTTGCCAATCGAGTCGATAAAAACCGAAACCAAGACAAAATGCAATTTGTTTTGGCGCACGTTTTGCGATTTGGTGCATAATGGCGCGAGGTATTGGCTGTGGCGCAGTTTCTGCAACATGGTGCAGGACGGCACAGACAAATGCGTCTGGCGCAAAATGGAACAAATGGCGCAGCCGTTCCACCCCTGAAATATATATTTGTAATTTGTAATATTTGGTATGCATGTTGTAAATTGTCTATAAAATGAATGAAACAATTTCAACTACGTGCCTGCTCCTGTGTGACATTGGCGGCTGTGCAAATTACCAGTGAAATCTCGGCAATGTCCACGCCTCCAGCTTCTCAGTTTCATATCTCCGGGAAACATTTGGCTACGGCGTTCACATATGGCTGAATGTTCCTCCCAAGAATATCGCTTTCACATATATTTCTTAGAGATATATATAGGGTGGTCCAAGTCACCAGGCTCGATCTAAAATGGACCGTAAAAATCGATGCCTGCACGTAGCCATCTAAACTTTTCGTCGAAGGTGTATTTCACAGGTCGGTTTTTTCTTGTAAAATTCCAAAGCGAAGTTCTTTTCGGAAAAAAAGAGGGCCAAGAAAACTTGCCAGGCTGTACGGCGAGCGGCGACCCAGACGACCAAGTCCAGTGTGTTTGGCGTTCGTATCGATAGATGGCGTCGGGAGCAGCGTCCGAAAGTGCAGCCGACCAGCGAAAAAAAGTAGACGACACGCAGACGAAATCCGTTGGCAGCAAAAGCGACGTCGTTATGCAGACGCGATTTTAACTTTAAGTTTTACTTTTATTGTTCGCATTTATTTTTTAACCGAAGGTACATTTCAGAAAGATTATGTTCATTGTAATAAACCACGGTGGTCCAGAGCCGTCGCGATTAGGAGGTAGCACCATCTATCAATATGAACGCCAAACACACCCCGCTATTGGACCCCTGTCGTCTGCGTTGCTGCCCGCCGTAGACCCTGGCAGGTTTCTCGTCCTTATTTTTTCCAGAAAGAGAACTACGATTTGTAATAATTTTACAAGAGAGAGAGAGAGAAAAAACAAAACTAACTGTGAAGTACACTTTTGACGAAAAGTTTAGATTGCTACGTGCAGGTGCCGATTTCTACGGTCTATTTTATATGTATCTATATATATGTATATATACAGGGTGATTCAAGGAGACGCCAAGCTCTTTAAATCGACCGAAAAAGTCGGTTTCTTAACCTATCGCGCTACGACTTTGTGCAGCGTTGCCCACAGATGGTGTTTTTTTGTAAAATTTGCAAAGAGCGAACTTACCTGAGGAAAAAGTAAAGAAATAAAAAGGCTTAGCTCCTATGGAAACGCAGCGACGCCACCGGTCTTCAAACAACGCGGTGCCGTTTCGCACGGGAGCCAAAAGATGGCGTAACGAACGCCGCCAACGCGCCAACGAACGAGCATACGGCGCCGAGAGCCGGAGTCTTTAGCAGACAATCTTTTCGACTCAAAAGCGGCGCGCGTTCCGCAGGCGGCGACAGTCCCAGAAACAAAAACAGGCGCGGTAACAACAAGGAACTGCAGTTCCTTGTCTGCTAGAAACGCCGGCTCTCGGCGTCGTATGCTCGTTCGTTGGCGGCAGTTGGCGTCGCGACCACACCTCGGCAAACCTCACTCATGAGGGCCCTCACTCACCCTCACTCACCCTCATCTTCACAGGTGAGGTGAGGGTGAGTGAGTTTCTGAACCAAGAAAATTCATGAGTGTGAGGGTGAGTGAGGGCCGTGAGGGCGGTGAGGGCCGTGAGGGCGGTGAGGGCTGTGAGGGCGGTGAGGGCCGTGAGGGCGGTGAGGGCGGTGAGGACCGTGAGGGCCGTGAGGGCCGTGAGGGCGGTGAGGGCCGTGAGGGCGGTGAGGGCGGTAAGGGGTATGAGGGCCATGAGTGCGTGAGGTGCGTGAGGGGCGTGAGGGCGGTGAGTGGCGTGAGGGCCATGAGTGCGTGAGTGGTGTAAGGGCGGTGAGTGCGTGAGGGGTGTGAGGGCCATGAGTGCGCGAGGGCAGTGAGTAGCATGAGAGGCGTGAGGGCCGTGAGGGCAGTGAGTGCGTGAGGCCCCCTTCAGATCGAGCATCGTTCTCAGCAATTTTGGTGTTAATGGCGGGTTGTTTTCTAGCTTTCCCTAGATTGACACGAATTGCTGAGATCGGGTCCGGCTCGAAATAAGCAAGCAACTCGGAGCAATTCAAATACGTTTGAAGCGGCTGCATCCAATCAGGGACGCAAAATTTTCACGTGATACATCTTGCCGGTGATGATGACACCGAAAGACTTGATTCTGGTTTGAAATCGATCGTTTTTTTGGAAATAAACTGTTTCAGAAAGGTGCATTAGTACTCTTAACGAGGTTTAAATGCATCAAAACACGTTTATAACGCGTAATTCTGTCTAAATAGTGCAAGAAAAATAAAATTTTTATGATGACGATGGCAAATTGCAGCAATTGGTTGCTGCGTGTGATCGCAGGCGGCCCGTGTTGCTGGTGTTGCGACGTAAAGTTTCTGGGCGAAATTGCCCCATCTGAAGCTGGCCTGAGTGGCGTGAGGGCCATGAGTGCGTGAGGGGCGTGAGGGGTGTGAGGGCCGCAAGGGCGGTGAGTGGCGTGAGGGCGGTGAGTGGCGTGAGGGCGGTGAGTGGCGTGAGGGCGGTGAGTGGCGTGAGGGCCGTGAGGGCGGTGAGGGCCGTGAGGGCGGTGAGGGCCGTGAGGGCGGTGAGTGGCGTGAGGGCTATGAGTGCGTGAGGGCCGTGGGGCGGTGAGGACCGTGAGGGCGGTGAGGGCGGTGAGGGCCGTGAGGGCGGTGAGGGCCGTGAGGGCCATGAGTGAGTGAGGGGCGTGAGGGCCGTGAGGGCGGTGAGGGGCGTGAGGGCCGTGAGGAGCGTGAGGGCGGTGAGTGCGTGAGGGCCGTGAGGTTCAGTGAGGGTGAGTGAAGGGCTGAAGGTGAGTGTGACTGTGAGGGTGAGGGTGAGTGAGGGGCTGAAGGTGAGTGTAGCTGTGAGGGTGAGGGTGAGTGAGGGGCTTAGGTGAGTGGCTGTGAGGGTGAGGGTGAGTGAGGGCGACCTAAAATGCCGACCTCTGGGTGGGACCCGCCACGGCACTGCGACGTATCCACGCTGCGCCCACGTGGGACCATAGTGGGTTTTGTAGGGGCTGCCCGAGTCCCTATTGCCCATGTGGGCCCCACCCCTTGTGCTGCCTGGGATGTTCGAAGCGCTTCATACATATGCATGCTTGGAGCATTTCTGCAGAAGGTTTATATCTGACCAACAAGAAAGACCGTCGTACAAGGAGGAAACACCTCTTAGGCAGTGCCCGCAGACAGTCTGTCGTGTGATATGTTAGCCCGGCTGGCCGCAGCTTTAGAGTTAAAGCAAATATAATAAAGCACCGTAGAAATATGGCCTTGAGACTTTATTGTAAATCTAAGAAACCCTTTACAAAAGAGCTCTAGTGGTAGCTGCGATCATTGCAGAAGGTCTCCAAGTTTTGGGCATACATCATTCGCGTGTCTTAGACACGTGTGCCGCGTCAGCGTTTTTCGTCTCCCACCTCATACAGTTAAAAGCAGTTAAACGTGTACGTGCAGGGTTATTTCAGTATGACAATAGAGAAACTCAAACATCCAGACCAACATCGAGACATAAAAAGACGCGAAGGAATAAGGAAGAAACATCAACATAAAATTCTATTATAGCACGCCGTGGAAGCCTTAATTGCCCTAAATAAAAACAAAAATATAAATCGTCTATCAGGCTTGTAATTTTCATTCGCATAACAAAAAATGCAAAGTAGGCTAACTAATACTGCGACAATAACACTAAACGCTGGACGTTCTTTAGAAGGTGGGAAACAAGAACCCATTCTTAACGACGCTAAAATTGTTTTTTTGCGTTTCTTGAGCACATTCAAGTCACCTAGCGAGCACACTGACACTCTTGTAGGCATGAGACAACTTGCTAAAAGGAAACAAACAAACAAAAAAGAAAAATATTACTTTTGTTTTCACTGTGAAATTCAGGCGCACTATATTAGACGATGACAACCCAAAAAAGTATCATTCATAGCAGGTACTTGAAACAAATTTATAATTACGGTGATACAACAGAACGAGACAAACTCCAGAGCCATAGGAGTATCATGCGACATTAATGGAACATATGACCCCACAGTTTCTAGAAAATGTTCACGTAACAATAATATAATTTTTTTTTACAAATCAGCGTAAGCAATATCTTTTGACAAAATTCTTTTCGTTCCTTGTTTGTAGGGCGCTGTGCCAAGACTTTAAAAAAAGCCAGTCAAAATATTTTGGGATATGCGAAACTGGCTATTAACCCATTGATTAGATAACATCTCAAATAATTTTTTTTCGCGCAAACCCTCTAAAACAAACTTTTTAGAGCGTGTTAAGAACATCCCATCGTGTGTTTTTAAACAAGGTATCCTTTGTGTATGTAATTGTTTCCAAACTTAAACAAAGCATGCGAGATTTTAAAAATATCCCATGTGACTAAGCGCTAGCGAACTGCCATATCAGTGTCCTTACTCACGTGAGATATTTCTTCTTTTATTAATCGGGCCTGCATTTTTAAAGCTGGGTATGATCACGTGAGTTGTTCACTTTAGATCGTCGTTGAATGAAACACAAAAATATGCAATAGCACTGGGTAATACATTACACATATTAAGTTAACCGCCCATCCAGAATCTACAGAAAACAATACACCTCACAGCAAGAGTGCTTCCATGCCTCCTTGTAAACCGTCGCTCGGAAGCGCAATATGCACCGCCAATGTGGCACTGAAGCCGTCGAAGATGATTCTGGTGTAGGTAAATTAAGCGTCAGGTGTTCGATGGTGGCTTTATGCCACGTTGCTCCTCTGGTCATGCGGTCTCCCTCAAGGTTTTTATATAGAAACATGGCATTCCGCCACTTTCACTCTGCTACCCGGGCCACTATTCAGCAAGAAGCTTAGCTCGACTAGCGAAAAACCCTACCCGACCAACTAGCAGCGAGTCCGGACTCCGTAACTCCGGGGAAAACAACTCCCGCTTCATGAGCCAAAGCGTAGAAGGACGACGTAGTATCAGCCAAGAGTTCTGCCGGACTACCAACTTCGAGAATCGTTCCCCGGTCCATGACAACAACACGGTCTGACGTTAGAACGGTGTGAATACGATGAGCTATGGTCAAGACGGTACACCCACTCATCACATCTCTCAAGGTTTGCTGAACCAGCATATCTGTCTCAGCGTCCACTGATGCCGTGGCTTCGTCAAGGACAAGTATCTTTGTCTTCTTCAACAGAGCCCTGGCAAGACAGACGAGCTGCCTCTGTCCCACGCTAAGATTGAGTCCCCCTTCTGCCACTTCAAAGTCTAGACCCTCGTTTTGTCTGAAGAAATCAGCAAGGTGAGATCGGTCCAGTGCCCACCAGAGCTCGAAAGTATCGTGCTGACCGGCCGGGTCAAGGTTAAATCGCAGAGTGCCCTGAAACAGGACCGGGTCTTGAGGTATGATGGTTATCCTGGAACGGAGGTCTTGCAGTCCTAAGGCCGCAATGTCCATGTCATCCACTAATATCTTGCCTGACGCCGCCTCGACGATACGGAAAAGGCTTAGGGTTACGGTCGATTTACCTGCACCTGTTCGTCCTACGATCCCCAGTTTCTCACCAGGACGTACATCCAGGTTAACGTCCTTGATGACCAGGCCCAAGCCGTCCCGGTACCGAGTGGAGTAGGACTTGAAGGACACTGCCCCTGAGCCTGGCCACTGAGAGTCCGGTCTCAAATTCGATGTACATAGCCCTTCCGGAGTCAAACAGCTGTACTCGTCTACACGTTCGGCAGATACCATAGTTGCTTCTAGTTCGTTTGTGTAAAGCAGAAAGTCGGTGAAGTAAGAGAGACTACTCATCATGTAAGAAATCAGAAGGCCCGCTAATCCCATGCCGATTGCGTCGCGGCTGGTAACGAGAAGAAACAGCATAAAAAACACAGTCAGTTCGCTGACCATCTCCATGCGGACGTCCATCCAGTATTTCAAATGTCTCGCGTTCATAGTACAGGTCTGCATAATGTCAATCTTAGAATCATTGTCTCGTATAAAAATATCCTCAACGCCGTAGCTCCTGATACTGCTCAAACCAGCTACTGTCTCGGAAATCTGGTTGTTGATCGGAGAACGGCTGGCACTTTCCAACCTTTTGACTTGTCGATATGGGACCACGTACTTTTGACGCAGAACCACTAGGCTAGCTGCCACCGGAATGATAATCAAAAAGCAGACAGGAATATTTATGCATATTAGAAGAAGTGATGCTGCAAAGTGAAAAAATACATCAAGAGTAGAATGCGCTGCCATTGGAAGCTGGATATCAAGCTGGTCAATATCCTTACCGAAGCGGTTCAAGACGCGTCCACAGGGGGTGACATCAAAAAATGACAACGGCGCCCTCATCACTCCCTCGAGCAACAACTGGTGGAGCGAGGTAGAGGATGAGAGTGCAACTTTCCACAGCATTGCGACTGCAAAAAACTTAGCAACCGCTTGGAATGTAAAGAGCAGGGTGTAAACAACAATCCTGTAGATAGGCAGAGATCGGCCCTGGCTTCCGTCAATGAACAATGAATCATCGGTCCATTCGCGCAGCCATATACCAACGAACACACCAAGTGCTGTGTAAACACCGTAACACAAAATAACCAATATCAGCAGAAACCCGGCCTGTCTTATGTAGCTTCGGTATACATGAAGACCAACAGTACCCTCCGCTATTCTCTCCTTCTCCACAAGCGCAATTTTACGCTCCAGTTTCTCTAGGTTACACTTGTCCTCTGAATCTATAAGAATATCGTCATTTCCTGTCGATTTCTCACCTTTTTCCGATACTTTCTTTAGCAGTCCCGAAAGAGCAGTTCCTTCTTTCTTGAGTTCCTCGAACGTTCCGGTCTCAATTACCGATCCATCCTGCATGACGACAATGTAATCGACTTCAGGAAGTACTGCAAGGTGATGGGTCACCAGGATTCTTGTGGTGTCTTTAAGCATTCCTTGTGGTCCTATAAGATTTTTGAAAAGGTAAGCCCCAACGTGAGCATCCACTGCACTCAGGGGATCGTCAAACAGATATAAGTCTTTCATCTGGTAGGCGGCTCTTGCTAGACTCACCCTTTGCTTTTGACCGCCGCTTAGGTTGACCCCTTTCTCGCCTATTTCCGTCAGGTCTCCACCTGGAAGGATCTCTAAGTCTCTCTCGAGGCAACATGCCCTCAGTACTTTCTCGTACAATTCGGAGTCGTACGTACTCGTAAAGATCACATTTTCTAGTATAGTCTTGTTTTGTATCCACGGACATTGAGGAGCATACGCTACACTTTGTATGCAATCCACAGATCCTGAGCAAACTCGAAGTTGTCCCAACAATGCAGAAAGCAATGACGACTTGCCAGAGCCTACGGGCCCAACGATTGCGATCAGTTGACCGGTATTGACAGTCAAGTTAATTTTTCTCAACGTCGGTGTTTTGTTTTTCAACCAACAGATCGTTGCATTCTTCACTAATACAACGTCGCCTTCATTCAAACGTCGACCGACTGAACTCTTATCTACTTCAGGGCATAGTAAAAATTTTCGAATCCTGGTCATTGAAACGTTCGTCCGAACCAAGTTAGAAATGAAGTCTGGCAATACAAACATCGTGAGCTCCAAATAATCAAATAAAGCAAATGACACAAATGCAGTCCTTGCGTCGAGAATATGATCGTCGCTAACCAACACGTAAGTCACAAAACTCACCAACGTGGTCGCAGATGACATACTAGTAAAAAGGAAGCGATGAAGAGCAGTCAGATAGGAATATTTCTTTAGCAGACCCATCTCCTCTAACCGTAAGGCTTTGCACTTGTCGATAAAAAAATTTTCCCAAGCAAAAAGTTTGATCACTTTAACGCAGTTCAACATTTCTGCCACAATATTCAGCCTCTTGTCTTTCAGCTTCATTTGGCCTGTCTGGTACTTCTTCCTAATGTCTACCGTTACGGCTATTATCGGCACCATAACGAACATGACAGCGATTCCAGCGAGGCAAGCAAATCCAAGGTATTGCCATAGTAGAACTAGCGTGATCATTATAATTGGGACAGCACTGGCAACGTAATTAAAAGTGGTGCTAAGTTTGAAGATCCAGTCGGCATCAACGGAAATTAAGTTGACCATCTTCCCTATCGTGTAGTCATTCTGCGACTGGCTACAAAGCCGAAGTGCCTTTCTATAAATGGCTGCCACCAAGACACTCTTTGCATTTAGCCCCGTAAGACTGATTGTCCTGTTCGTGTGGACAGCAAGCAGAGCCGACCCAAAGATGGTGCTCACCATTCCGAAGGCGTACAAGAGACCTATCCACGTGGGACCGTTTCCGCCCATGTAGTCCATCAGGAGATGCAAAAAAAGAGCAGAGGCGGGCCTTACTATGGCTCGTAGCACGCCAAGGATGCATGAAATAACCACAGGCTTCCAATACACTCTCCAAAGCGACTTGAGCAGTGAAGGCCCAAGTCTAGAGTTTCTACATAATTCGTCTTCTGGTACGCATCCGGAAGAATTTAGTTCCTTCTTCCACAGCGCAGCCCACTGATGGTAGCTTTGTTCAGTCATCATGCCCCGTGGTATCTTGTAGAGGTCCTCCATCTGAACGCTGCGTTCTGGCTTCTTATGTATGAGTGCTGACAACCATCCGAAAAGAAGGAATGAGACAGGTGGCGCGGTGAGGTAGGGTCTTTTCGCGTCTTTTCTGGCGTCCGTCCAACAAGAAAGGAACAGCTGCAAGAGCATCATAGGATAGGCTGAACCCCAGACGGCAAATTCAAGATCCAAAATGTGAACCAAGTTTCTGCCCGATGCGAAGAGTCCGTGCAAGTGGCGAAAGCACTCAGGGAGCTTGCAGATAACGGTCACCAGCCAAAATAAAAAAAGTAGCATCGATGATCCAATTCCATTCTTTCTATGGCTCTCCTGGACTTTCATGGTGATGGCGAAAGAAATGACGTGTACAAGGTCTGCTACCACCGATGACCCGGATGACGGTCCACTGACCAGTTTGTTCACGATCGAGAACCCGTAAGTAAGCGTAAGCAGAAGACTTGCGACGAACCTGGACATACTTAGAGGAGTCCAGGACAGTGTTTCACGATAGCGGGATTGCTTCTTCCGACGTCTTACAAGCTGAGGGAGGACACCAAATAGCACAAGGAGACTCGCTGGTGTGTAGGTGAGGACGGTATTCTCGAAGCATGATGTCAGCCTTGGGTAGTCCGAGCTCCAGGTGTAATCCCAATCCAACAAAGGTGAAGTGCAGAAAGGAGTCATCACTCACTCGTTTATTGCACCACGGCTGGGGGACGATTTAACTATTATCACAGGTCACGCGTGCGAAATCCTTCTTGAGTGCTTCACCGGTGGCGACTTCGGCGGCTTGAAAACGGAGCACGAACACTGAACGTTCGTTTGCCCCGCAGGGACACAAGTAGAGACCTGCCACTGCGGCAATTGTCTACGGAGTAAGTTAATGGTCCGACGAAGTCCCATTTGTGTTCAACAGTTACAGCAATAAACGTGTGTCGGCTCCGATCACTGCACCCTCCTCGGATTGTAACGATGAGCTGTACAGTGTGCTCTAGCGAAACAAGACTGCAAGGTGTATCCCGTGAAACTCATTACCGTGACGAATTTTGACGTTGCGACAAATTTCGAAACAAACTTTATAGCTCGGAACAAGCGCTGCAGTATACGTCAGTCCAGCTGGAGAAATACGTCAGTCCCCACCAGCAACGAACATGTGTTTGTAAGTGCGATCAAGTAGACGTAGGAACGGGCTCTTCGAATTACATTTTGCAGCCCATTGCTCAGTCCCGTTGTGGTTGCCTTTTTAAAGTCATAGATAGCTTTATGGGTGACGCATTGCAGAGATTTCGTCCTGGTCGCTTGTCGTTGCGGAGTGCCCAAGGAAAATGGAGAAATCCTTCTTCTCTCCCCTCTTTCCGCTAGGAGAGGGAAATCGGGACCTCCCGTACTCCGTGCCGCGCGCAGAGAGCGAAGAGGGCAACCCTTGGCGTCCCACCAAGAATTGCGCAACGAAGAAAGATTCATGGTGTTGTCAGCTTGAACGACTTGTTTTTCAACATTACTCGCGTAATGCGTGATACACTTTGGCAGTACCCAGTTGCTACATTTAATGATGGATGGTTTTAGAGACTTCCACTGCGCTTACCCATTTGCTTTACGGACCACTGGTGGCGGTCGTCAGTGGCATTCACGACGCCAACCGGTCGTCAGTGGCATTCACGCGCTGTTGGCGCTCTGCTCGTGTGTTACACGTGACTACGAAGTATTAACAGCGCCGTGGAGGTTCTATAATTATACACGTACTTCGCTGGTCACCGAAGGAAAATAGTGACAACCTGTCTAATTTTATAGACATACCTTTCACTTGTCAGCAAAAATAGCGACCGTTATTTGGGGCCGTGATTTCAATATTGACCGGTTGGAATGCAAGCTTTTGAATAGAAAGATTCATATAATTATTCGAATGAATGAATTCATACAATACCAATTCACACCCAAGGATGCATTCTGAGGCATAATGGCTATGTTCCAAATCTTACCCGAGTAACCTGTCACCTACGTCAGCGGGTAACGTGACATCGCGAGTAAAGGATCCGCGACTCGATTTTGGAACGGCCAGGATAATCACCTGGATACTACGCGGATTGGCTTCGTCTTGGGCGACGGCCAAAAGAAAACATAGCAGCGATGGCAGAAAATAGCAGACGATCCTTTCGATCATGGAGAAAGCACTCGAAGAACGGTAATGTTAATGACGACGCAGTGTTTTTTGAGGTGGATCCACCAGCTCCTTTTACTCACCTTCGTTTTGAGCTGTATATTGAGATCAAAATTACTTACTCCTTACAGTTAGACATAAAAAAATGTGTTTTTATTAATCAGCGCGATTGCTGCAATTCTAGTCACGGTGCCCTAAACGCATATATTCCACGCATTGTAATTTGCACCGATTATGTTTTGCAGAAATATATTCCACACGTTGTAGCTGTACAGCGCGAGGGTGCTTTCTCCAGAATGATATGAAACTCAGGTTCGCTTTGACGCGAATGTGATTACAGTGAAATTTTCGAAGCCTTCACTGCTTTACAAACGTTATCCTCTCATTACAAACACTCTGGAGGAAACAAAAATACTACATTATCATATACCGAGTTCAAACATTTTCGGCCTTGAACGTGAGAATATGGCATTCCCCCAACGCCGAGGACGAGGATGCGGAGAAGCTCCTGTTTACGCTCGCACTCAGATAATAACAAGTACACGTTCCCGGGGAAGGTGGACGGTCTGGATGTAATGCAGTCAATTCCTGCGTTGACAACAGCAAATCGCAATAATCACACATGCTGCACCTAATTCTTTGTCATTTCGAACGTCCGCCACCAAAACCAACGGAGCAAGCGAGCTTTGACGGCTGTCGGCGCAGAAAGCAGACGACGAACAGATCACGTGACGTATTTACTCGATTTGATCCGACTTTACCCCCCGATCGAGGAGGGTAGCGCGAGTAATTACTCCGGAGTAAACAACCCGCTTCTGGAACGCGAGTTCTGACGTCATCGAGTAAGCTCGAGTAAGTTTTGGAACGCCACGGTACGAAACTTTTACTCCGGAGTCGGATCGAGTAAATTTTGGAACACAGCCTAAGCGATATATTTATTACTCACACCAAGAGTGCAAGTATACTAGCCAAGGTCATGAACTATCGCGGAAGTGACCACCTTCCAATATTTATATGTTAAAAACTTATACTCTCAAAGAAAGCAGAAAGAGTAACTCATTTGTCTTTCAGCATAGAACCTCAAAGTGGTTGAATGAATTTAGACGAGAGGGGGAAGAAACCAATTGGAGCGATATGTTTTGTTCGTAAGGAGAGATATGTTTATGGTCAGAGTGACACGCATTTTGCCACTTTTAATTGTTATTGATAAGTACTTATGACTGCTGCTTTCCATGCAAACGTTTCGAGACATAACTCTAAAAAAAATTATAAAACCATAAATAACTTCAAATATACTTTATAATATTACAATAAAAAAATTTGATGCACAAATAAAAATAGAGACCCCAATTCTTCACTCTGTGTTGCAACCAATTAACAAAATTTCTAACGGCAAATGCCGAATATACTTCCAAGTTATTGTTTTGTTTTTGTAAACTAATGATCGTAACTTACTTAGTTGGTGAAAAACTTAATTCAGTTTTACGCCACAATCGCAGCCGTCAGCTTGCTAACAACATTATACGACACGCGATGTAAGTTTAAGCGAATTCTCTTCAGCGAACGTTTTCAGTGAGTATTTTTAAATTTACTTACTACAAGCAGTAGTAACACTGGTCCGCCAAAAATACGTAGACACCAGGCGTGTTTCGTTCCCGTTACCTGAACCTGTTACAGATGCATTTTCTACATGTACGCAATAGACCATTTGCAGTCCTCCCAAGCGCCCCGGCGCGCGCGCGAGGAATCTTGGGATCGGTGTTCTGTCGGCCCCCGTCGTCTGGCTGCTCTCCGTTGGAATCGCATCACCTCGCTCTAGACATACTTTTCATCTTCGTTGTTTATACTTAATAATCCTCTTTTTTATCTACTCCAGTGTATTTTTCTTGTTCATAAGTGTATCTATTTCGTTCAGCGCTTTGTATTTCTTCTGTATATTACGTGTTTTTGTGCATATTCCATCGTTTTCGACGCGGCCGTCGACGGACACCACGCCGCTTCGTTCGCCGCTCCCGGGGTGAGTACTGACTGTTGCCGTTACGCTCTATCCCGCTCCTAGGCCGTTCATTTAACTCGTGTGCGGTCGCGAGAGAGCAGTTTCGAACATCACTACAAATGTCACCGCTGTAAGCAGAGAAATAAAGTAGTCATCACGAAGCGAAGGCCGACATGCCTTCGCTTCGTGATGCGCTCGCCCTGTGAAATGTGAGCGTGGGATATCGAGTACTGCTTGCGTGCTCAACATTCGGGACGGTGCTTTGTCGTTGCGATCTTTTTGCCCTTCGGACGCTTGCGAAGCTGTACCAGCGGTCGGCGTGCCTCGGCAGCGCTCGTCAACAACCGTCCGCGCGGCGTCACTTTTCTCGCGTTCGCTGACCGTCCGCGAGCGCCGGTGATTCATCGTCGCGGCTGGTATGCGTATGTAGTACATCGCATAGCTTCACAATCGCTCTTAACAGCGGTTGTGAGTTGAGCGGGCCCTTAGCAAGCGAGTTATGTCAGCAACTGCAACTTTGAAACTGATGGTCACTTCACTTATTTATTTCACTATTCGAGATGTCAGCTGAATGTAGTATCTTCTTAGGTCACCCTCAGAAGCCACATGACGGGCGGTACAACCTGCTGTGTACCGGGCTGTGCCCACACCACTCTCACTGCCAAGCATGTGTCCTGGAATCGCTTTCCGAAGAACAGCCATCTACGCAACATTTGGGTACAGCGAATCAACAGGAAAGGTATTTACCATATTTTTTTACTTGTTATCTACACTTTCCTGACAATGATCAGGAAGGTACAGTGTGTGTACTGTCCGACGTGGCCCAAGTCATTTTACCCATATGTACAACATACCTGCGAAACACATTTTTTTTAAAAATAAAAATAGCATTCATTATTTTTGACCTATAAGTGCAACATACGACTGAAACAAAAAAGACAATCTCAAAGAATCCCAGATGTTGCATGTGCCCTTTTCACTCTCTTGGCCACTTCCACCTGCACCGACATACCAATATTTGATTGCATCGCAGGAATGTCGCTTCATCTCACTACCCTACAGCTAAAGCAAAGATACTCTCACAGTGCTTCTATCATTTTCAGCGTGCATCCACTCCAGGTTTGTTAGGCATAAACTATGTGCTTGTTCTTAGTGCCCGCTGCACAATGGTACTGGAAGTGTTTAGAAGGCGGTGGGGTGACGATGGGGGAGGAGGAGAACTGAATTCTACCCCCTTGCCCGGATAGTTTACTGACGCCCCTGTTCAGACGCCACGGCTGCTGCATCCATTCTTACCACTGAGATTGAGTTGCACTTGCTCCAAAGTTGAATGGGTGAATCTTAATATGGTGCTAACTGCTTCTTTTGCATGCAGGTACCACTGGACGGTTCTCTCTGTGGACGCCAACCTCTGACAGCAGAATATGCGGCGCTCATTTTAACGAAACTGGGAGAAAGAAGTACGAGGACAAAGCTCCCCGGTTTTTTCCAACCAGGACATTTCCGAAGTGTATGTTATTTGCCTATTTT